GTGGAGTTTAAACTTAGGAGGTTCAAATACTGCAGGTACTTCCTCTTCTTCAGGCTGAGCCCGAGATTTTCCTCCTCCACAGGGTCCTCCTCCTGTACTAGCCATATCTGATTTGCTACTGGATTCGGGGTCGATTGGAAGTTCAAAGGAAGACTTCTTTGATGGCGTAGAAGGGAATTCTCCTGGAGGTTGTGTGTCTTCCATGTTTGCTGGTTCGCCCAGCTTTTTAGCAGAGCGTCAGGGTTGTTTCTTTCTTGTAAAGTCTTGCCGTGGGATTTGCTTCCCACTCCTAGTTGTCAAAGACTCTATCTTGAATTTGAGACGAAGCTGAATGTGCCGTGATTCTACCGCTTCTCTCCGCTAGCGTTCTGGTGGATATCGATAGATTGATCAGGCATAAATCCAGGGACAGGTTCTTAACCACTTGCTGAGGTTAAAAAAATGTAACATGTTCGCAAGATGCTAATTACGTTATCGGTAATAGATACGATAGTTGGCAGGTGGCCTGCTCTTCCAGAGAGGTGGCGAGAGCTGAGAACTAAAGGAGGCTTCGAGGGTGTACTGAGGAACAAAGAATTAACTGTTCAACCAAGTATATTGAAATACTGTCTGTCGAAGTCTGCCTTTTCTATGGTAGAAACAGGCAGTCTTTAAATACAAAATCTGTTCATGTCTAGCATGAACAAAACTAATCAAAGGTATCAATCGATACACTTTGGTGAAACTAATTAAGTATCAAAGCGATACTTAAAACAAAACATAAAACAAAACCAAGCATCAAACGATACTTAAAACAAACCAAGTATCAAAGCGATACTTAAAACAAAACATAAAACAAAACCAATAACCGAGTACCCGCACCGGTTACAATTGTTCTGAGTTAGTTATATTATACTTTGCAAAGAGGATGTGGTGATTTTCAGAGTCTCCAGGTGTTCGCACCTTTCAAGAATACCCGACATTGCGAGTTATAATCAGAAAGGTACATAGTAGTACGATAAATAGATGTAGTCCACGAACACTCAGACATGGAATATAAATATCGAAGTGCCTCCCAAGCTTTAGATATCATCAAGCAATGGAGAAGAGACCTTAACAATATAGTATTGTTTTTATAATTCTATCTTACTTTACTGAATTTACTTTGCTCTTAGTAGTCATAAACAAAAAGAGTGAACCCGAGCCTTCCTAGACAATCTCCGTCTACAAAAACGAATTTCAATTGGCCTAGACAATTCTGAAGTCTATCAGATTGTCTCTACCTAACAATTGCCCCGAAAGTGTAACAGTATTAGAGAATAGTTAAAGACTTGGAGACACTAGTCTGAGGTTATAATAAGAGCTACTTCTAGGAGGGTTAACTGTAGGTAGTCCCTATTGGTAGTCAACCTTTAAAAGGGTCTGTTGGGAGAGCTACGTGACTATCATCCAAAATCATATGGAATGGAGTAGAACTGGATAGATGTTTAGGGGCTGCGAATGCTTGTAGAAAACTAAGTGTATATGGGTAGAGAGTTCCATAGTTGGTATCGCATCCACTCGGGCATGGCAGTTTGCCACTGACATGTCCCTGATAAGAAGAGTTTTTACTTCTGCCGTTGCATTGTAGACACAGCAGCTAAAACACTTCTATTGTGTGTATGTTAGCAAACCACAGAGCAGTCTAGTTCGCTACGGAGGATCTTTGGCCTGACCCATAGAGGATAACTAGGTAGCTTAAGGGAGTTGGATACTGGCGAACGCAGAGTAGTGATGGAGAGCAACTGGCAGTATATGAAATCTACTTAAGTATATGCGAGTTCTCCTCTACTCTGGCAATCAACTACCTCTCGAGATCAGGACTTAATTGAGTCAAAAGCTGTAGCTTAACAATTTTAAGTTTCACTGATTTGTTTAAGTTTCACTGATTTGTTTCTTCAAACTCTACTGTTGAGACTTTGACATTTATTATATTTGTTCACTTTTGCAGAAGAATTCATTTCGGTGCAGTCGCAACCTCAGGATCCATCTTCCCCGAGTGAGCCCCCATTACACAAATACGCCCAACCACACATCTCATCATACATCACATGCATGCTCAGAAATTTCCCCCTCTGCATCTACCATCACTGTTTTCAGATCTTACATTCTTACGAGATGAGATAGCAGGTCTTGGCGGTACTGCTCAGTACATATTAGATGGTGTGCTTGTACGAGTATTTCAGCCGGTAAACTTTTCTTCTCCCTCCCTCCGTCTCTCCCCTCCTTTCCCTTCCTCCCCGGTATTTATTTCCTTTTTCTCTATTGCAGCTTGAAGGACTCTTGGCGGTTTGAGCGAAGTTAAAAAAGTTACACCTATCATAGACATACATAAGGCCATATCCTGATCCAATTTAGTAAAGATATCTCGATCTTTTATTAGTTTTCTTGATAAGAGATCGGCTTTTGGGTCTAGAATTGCCTTTCAGAAGGAGCTTCACCCTATGAGCGATGTTCTTTCTTTTCATTTAGTCGGCTGATGACTACTAAGACACCCGGGGGATTCTCTCGACTTCGCAATTGTTTTTAAAGTCTCAATGTTTTCCCCTCTGCTTCCGGAGTCGCAAAGTCCCCATCCACCCTAGACCTTGTAAACCTTCTATCGCAACCCGACCCACCCACCATGGCACAAGTACAGTACAACCGCGCTTAATCAACAAGTTGCTGTTGCAATCCGAGAAAACAAATACAGATCTATGATCTCATTAACCCAATTTTTAGGCTTAAAGGCCCATCATCGAGGGTAATTGTTGTCTACTCCAGTCGTCCAACCCAACTCGATGATCCCGGCTGGTTGGAGCCACGGGAGGGCAGGGGTGTCTCACACGATTGACAAGTGCTATGTTCCCATTCGTAACCTTTGTGGCCGTACCGGTACATGCCCATTCGCTCGTTCATTCTTGTCTTGGGGGTGGAGGGCGCAAGGGGCTCTTTGAGGAAAATAATAAAGCCATTTTATTACTTATTCTCTCATGGGGTTAGCGCTCAAGTGCAACCACCACGAGCCCGATACCCAGGTCATACTGATCCAGGATGCCCATAACTTTACTCATGCGGAGTCGCCGACGCGCAGCTCTCTGTGCCACGGTGGGTCTGAATAGTAATCGTGTCGCTCTAATCTAACCCAGGAATAGGAATCCAATCAGATACAGGGGCTCTGGAAAGAGAGAAGAACAAGAAAGAAAGAAGAAAAAAGCCCCACTCTCCTCACTTTCCAAATACCCTTTTCATCCCACCTTCGTTGGTTGGTGCGTATCTTGGTTGCTTTTGGGGCTTGCACGTTGCACTGGATGTGTGCGCTGTTGGGTGGAATAACTCAGGTGTTCTGTGCGGAGCGGTTTGGTTGGCTAGGTGGGTGCTGCGGGGGCGGGGCATACCCAAGAAGGCTAGCCTGGAGATAATCGTAACTTGCGTTGTATGATTCACCACGCTACCATTGGCGAGGGATGCGGTCATGCACAGTCACTCGGTGTGTTTGTCCTTCGTGGTATAATATCTTCGCTTCTGCGAGTGGGGCAGAAAGGAAAAGTGTAAGAGAAGTGCACTTGTACGGTACAATATTACTGTCGGCATAGCCACCCGGCAAAAAAAATTTGCCCAAGTTCCACGCGTAGTACGGTACCCACTGAGGCTGCGGTAAACTCCGTCCAAGAGCTGTCTCACGAAGACTTTTGGCCGCATAAGTGCATGTATATGGAGAATTATTATATTCTCCTGTGAATGGGGTTGTCGTCGAGAATAGCCTCCGGGCGCTAGCGGCCGCTAAAGTCTTCAATGGGGGCATAGCGAAGCTGGGCGGGTGAGGAGGAGCAGGGATCAGTGACAGGTGAATTTTTGTTACCCTACTTCAACCAATTCACTTTTTGCCCGCGCGATACCCTTCTTCATCACCCTCCCAGTTTAGTCGTGCCTCCCCTAGTGAAGACTGTACGGTTCGGGTCGGCACGGAGAGGGGTACTCGAGTACGATAGTTACGGTAGTGACGTGAATCTGCAGAAAAATATGGGGTGCTGGATATGCGACCGAACTCTACCCCGAGGAGGGATGAAACATCAGGATTCCTGACTCTCCCGATCCGCTATTATGCATCCATTGGAAAGACAGCGATTGACTTAATCGGCAAAATGCAACCTCAACTTAGAATAATTGGATACAGGTAACAGGCAAGAAGTATCGGAACATGAGACATATTTAATATGGCTAACAGGTAAATAACCGTTGTCTCGTGTTCGGATAATTCTTGCCTGTAACTTGTAAACAGCAATCGTAGCCTAAGGGGGTATGCCACCTCCCGTTAATAGAAGGTCAGGTATCTGCATGTCTGATCCGTCCATGGGGAGAGCCCCGGAACCCTGCTTCCGATCATAACTGACAGGTCGGGTCCATCCCGTGATGCCGTGTGTGTGCCTATCTAGGCATATCATACCACCGCATCGGCAACCGGTAGCCCTAATCTGGTGCCGAAATAGCAGACTCAAGCCGAACCACTGTATCCTACCATTCGTTTCTATTTTTTTTGATGCAGGGCGGGGTCCAATAAATTGAGTATGATAATCGAGTAAGGAAACATGGAGTGCATGCTGCGCTTCGCTGGCCTAGGTGGACTTTTTATTGGTGCGTGCACGAAAGCTCACTTGCTGCTGTGCTTGTACTACGAGCGGGGATCATAGGTTCTCCCGAAACTTATCTTGACAAGAACGTGGCAGGGAAAAAGTGCGCAGCGAATGGGTGGTCGTGGTTTGGCTGGGTGCAGCACTTCCTCTTTGCTGGTGTGCTAAGGGTGGGCGAGTTTACAAACTTGACGTGCGGATGGTAATGGTACGGTACAAATAGAGAAGAAGCCTTGCGCGTAGAGGGGCCTTCGGCGACGAATGACTGGGGACGATAGAGAATGAGGTGCCCGGCCATTCTCGTGGGGGATATGTTTTTGAACAAACGGATTCGCAAAAGTGGAAAGCAAATGGTTTAATCGATCTCTAGAGTAAGAGAGGACGAACCAGAATTTGACTAAATTAAACGTAAAACTTTATAAAACATTAAACCCTCGTAATCGTAGTCGTCACTCGGGCCATCACAAACATTACTGTGCGATACTTAAGCCAAAAGCCCAACCACGACACCAACCAACCCAACCAACCCACCCGCCCAGGCCCCCACCCTGCTGCTACCCCCGGTAAATGCCATGGGCTCACATATTCCACTAATATTGCCTTTAATAAGGTGCACAACTCCGTTCGGGGTAATTACATTCGCCTTCTCGATTACCGCCCCACCAGTAAGCGTGTACACCCCGTCCTTGATCTCAATCGTGATGGTTCCGCCAGCATCTGTAGTATATGCCCTCCCGAGCTCGATGTCGGGAGTATACAATGGTGGGCCCCTGACAATATGGTGCTTGCATGCGCACTCGCTGAGCTCTCCCGACAATGACGAGTCGATGGGGACAAAGGCGGTAATGAGCGGGGTGGTTTCGTAAAAACTTAGGAGTCTGAACCTTCTGAGTGCTTCAAGGAAGGTTCTTTGGGCTAGGAAGGTGAGAGATTGGGAGATGGTTTCTGGGAGGGTCACGAAACTAGATTGGTTGTTAGTTGTTTGTACATTACAATATGCATTGATGGAGTGCTTACCCTGCGGAGACGCGAACTTCGCCCCGGTCGAAGGGGATACTTCTGGGGTTAACATTGACGACCTCTCCAAGACCGCAGGCGAGTCCCAAGACTGATGGAGCTTGAGTAAAAGAAACCATGGGAAGAAACGCCCCAGGTCCAAGGTTAACGACCTCGGGATTGTCGAGGGTAGTCTTGAGAGTGAGCTGGTTGGGGTCTAGGGCGAATGGATCGGGGCCGGATGTTCTGAAATTAGTCGAGACTGCAGTAGAGGCAGCCGGAGACCCGGCCGGGGAGCTTCCCGGCGTAGCGCTTGTTGTGCCAGTGGTCGTTGCCCCGGCGGCCGTTGGTAACGAGACAATCACGGTGGGGCGACCTGTGAGGGAACTAGTGACTTGACGTTTCGCGCGGGCCCTGGGGGCTGGGGTCACAGGTGGCCTGGGGGGCTTGGTCACTGAGACACCTGTGGCAGTATTTGCTGCCATACTCGAGGTTGCCTTTGGGTCATCGCGTTTGAATATGCTCCCTGAGGGCTCTGCGAGTTTTCGTATCACTGCTTCGTTACTCGGGCAGAAAACAGTAAACGGTAGTGGGCCAGGAGGGGGAGATTGGGCAGCTGGGTATCGCTGGAGGAGTTTAAAGTACTCCTGGCAATCTGGCATGCCCTCAAGTACCTCCATGAGGGTCTGGTTGGAGGTAAATTGCTGGCAAGAAACATACGGGGCTAAAGAAAGAAGGACAACCGCAAGTAGCGGAATTGGGAGAATCATTTTGAACGAGGGAGATAGTCAAACGAAGGTAATAATGACGAGAGTGAGCCTTAGTTGCTTGCTCCCTTGTGGTAATTCTGACGTGGAATCCCAGGGGGAAGAGAGAAGAAGAGAGCAGGTAACCAGGGTTATTTATCATAAGATAGTGAATACTTATCCGTGGGCACTTAGATGTCATGCTGTGTTGCTAAAAAAAACCTTGGTTTAATCACAACTTCACCCAATACTTCTCAGGTACCAGAACAATGTGTTAAATTATTCTTTCCTTCAGCTCGTACAAGTATTGTATCCGTCATCTCCTCTCTTGGCTCCAAAGTATTTGGACTTCCCCTGGGGTTCGCCCGATCAATCTACGGTATCCCGATCTGCCCAATTACCATCAATGAAAAGCACAATGGATACTGGCGCTTTCCGAAAGTATACTCGTACCGGGATGGGGGTATCCGAAAAGAGGGGGAGTAAATTTGTATGGGCTCTTCGATGCGCACTTGTGTGATATTGGTATTTCTTCCAAGATTAACCGAGCACAGCGCAAAAGCAGATGTGCGCAAACACCGGAGACAGATAAAACCATCGGACTCTCCGGCGCATTCTGTGAAAATTTCCCTTCGCCAAATCCGCATGCACACAATGCGCTTCTCCCCATTCCAAATTTATGGTTGTACGGTATACAAGGCCTCACAAATTAGAACTCCAGGCAATCCAATTCTTTAGTACATGAACAGATTTTCAAAATTTTAGCCTTGGTTCCGGCTACCTTCCGGGGGTAAAGGCTGGGTAATAGGATATAATTTCACGGGTGATGAGAGAAATAGCCTGTATCCATTTTTTTGCCATGAGGGTTGTCTAGTCTGTTGGCACTATCAGGATTGCCATCTTGGTTCGTGCTCGAGTATGATAGGGGAAATGAAGTCTCCAACCCCTCCCCGATTGGAGAACAACAGCTGTTGGAGTCTGTGGAGAGATCAATGGGAACACTCATTTTTCTAGTGGAAATCCAATCCGGGTGTGTCGCCCTGGTTCGATTCTGCAGAATGAGCTCCCGGATCGGGCAATGACCTTGTCCCCCCAAAGCACCCCCGCAAACAAGAGAGCCTCCGGGCTTCGATTCCTGGTGCTAACATTTTAGGCTTCCCTGTATTTTACTGCGCACAACTCTTTTCGGAACTAGTTCTGTCTTGGATGGACAACTGTAAAAGTTTCCACCCCTCTTGCATAGAGACATATCCGAACCCACAGCAGGGATTGTGACTTTTAGAACGCTTGCCAAACTTAGCAGAGTTTAAAGAAAAAAAGAAAAATCTCTGTGCTTTAGACAAACCAAGTCATTGGCGGACCGAATGGAAAGAAAAATCATCACCCATAAGGTGAAGTTCATTCTGAAAGGGGATTGTAGGCCCCTCAAAACCAACGTTTTGTCAAGAAAACCACGGGGGGATAGAAATCTTTACTAGAGACCTCAGGGATAGTGGCGTGTGACTACTTGAATCTTTTTGGTCGCATATCCAAGATGTTTCTCCTGCGGCCCGGGAAGGATAACTAGCCGAGACAGTACCGCAGACTGCAGCACTGGCTGCAAAAAAGAAGCTCAAATACAATACCCCAATAAACAGCTCCCTTTAGTCACTCTCCGGTAGGCGAGTGACAGTTGTCTCATGTCCCCTCTTCCAAACCCAGGCAATTCGGCCCTAAATAGACGCAATCCTGGTACTCCTGTACTGATTTGGAGGAAGCGAAAGAAAAGAAAGAAAGAAAAAACACACTGGTACCAATACGAAGTGTGAAACTTGCTATGCACTAGAGATCTTTCGCTCCTATTGGCGCTTAGTGCTTTGAGATATTTGCATTTTTACGAGCTAAACCGCGAAACAAGCTGAGGAGATCCTGGGGCACAAATCCTCTTGGCGTGCGCAGTTCCAGTGGCCCATTCAGGGATCTGCGCTGCACTTCAACCCTCTTAATGCCTTATTATTAAGGTGCCAATTTTGTATTTCCCCAACTAATATCGGGATGTGCATGGTGGGTACAAGTACAATCACAAAATTTTATTGTGTCGCCTATCGTATCTACCGTAGCCTGCTCGAGTAGAGGCACAATATCCATTCCTTTTACTCAGTTAATGTACTCTACTCAACTATGATACCGCTTATTTTTTTTGCTTTTTTTTTTTTGCTTTTTTTTTTTGCTGATTTGCTTATTCTGCTATCAGCTACTTCTCGGGGGATTGGAAATCGGCTGAACTGTTTCCTGGGCGTGTTGTTAATTGGGGAGTGCTCGTGAGTTCTCGCAATTAAGTTACATCGTCTCACAAGAGTTGGGACTTTTAGAAAAGTGGCTTTGAGTATTCTAAGGATCTCTTACCCATTTTAGTCGCAGTGCTTGAGATCAACAAATATTTGCAATGCTGTTAGCAGGTTCAATATATTGGCATTATCCTAGTCTCGCCGAACCGGCATACAACCAGGTGGAGTGTTTTGTTAGTTACTCCTGCAGAAAATCTTGGTATCGGTATTCTGCTCGTCATTATTCCATCCTCGCATTTCTTGGGGTAGGTAGAACTTGGAGCCGGAATACCGAATAGGTGGATCGAACTGGTTGTCAGGTTCGGCTGACGCTAATATGCCACACCAAACAATATTCCAAAAACCCAATCCTCTGCCGCAAAAAATATTGCAATTGGCTATATCCGCCAGGTCGCTAATCGCGGGGTTCAGGGACAAAAGGTTCTTGGGAAAAATTAGTGCTATCCTGGCACTGTATAGCCTGAGCTTTTTGGATCTGTTGGGTCTCATTCCCTGATATTCGTAATTCCTTTGACTCGCCAGGCTAAACCTCTCGTGGGTTGATGTCGCGATTTACAGGGATAATCCGATAGTGTGCCGCAAGAGCTTTTACGGTACCTCAACTCTTGCTTCGTGTGCCTCATGAGAGGCTGTATACTAGTCTATGGGCTGCGCCTCTGCAGCATTATTTTCGTAGTTGAGATATATCAAGGCCTGGGGAAATAAGAAACAGAGATAGGAGTAAGCTGTTGGGGTTGTCCCGGGTTTTAGATACATGGAATCTGTTAGAGTTGATAGAGGGAGAATTAGTTGTGGTTGGTCGTTGAAGTTACGGACATGTTCAAAAGGGTTTCTTCTGTTCTAGGGTTATGGTAATTTACGGTGAAGCTTCTGCGGAGATGCCTTTCCCTTGTTGTCACAAGAGCACTCAAGAGAATTGGGACAAGCATAGAGGAGAAAAGAAATGTGTGGTAATCAATGGAGGGTGAGGGTGATTTCACTTTGGTTCATGCTCCGGTCTTTATCGTTACCGTAGTTGAGAGCGAGGGGACAAGAGGAGGACGGAATTTATAACTATACAAGCACCCAGGAATATTTTTTCGTATCATACAAGACAGGGATTATTTTGCGGGCAAACCTAAGTTAACTCCGTGAAAACATATTCTCGGGTGCTTGTAACTTTGCTACCTTTCCTACAGTTACCTGTACTCAATAACGATCGGATCCCATTCTATTCAACTCACATTACTGCTACGCCATTTATTAGTTTCTCCCCCGGGAAAGTTGATCCATCATGCATCACACGGTATAAAAAAACGCAGCCTTACATCCGGTTTCTCAAATGAATATCATATATCCATAGATTGGCTGCCGGGGCTGGGGAGACTTACTTTAGGAGTCTCAGCTCCATCGAGAAATTGGTGCTGATCACCAACTCAGGATTTCCCCATCAACTCGAGGTCTAGAATCTGCCGTAAAGAAAAGAAAAAAAAATATATTTCATACTAGTCTCCCATAACTCGGCAGTATACATCGAGCCTCAGCTGATCTCTAGCCTCCAGGGTTCCCCCCAAAATCGAGTATCGTGCCTCACCTGTGGCATGAGCAGAAGATTGCTTTGAGACCTGCAGGAGAGGTGTAAGGTTTAGCCAATCAGGGACTAAATAAAGCACACAGATAACGAGAACAAAGCAACCCTTATTACTTTTCACCCAACGATACCCTTCGTGTGGTGGGGGCCCATGTTAGAAGTTGGACACCATTACTCAAACAGCCTGTCATGTAGGGAAGTTTGAATCTACTTACATGAAGCCTAGATTTGCCAAAGGCTTTCGCGACTGGTAGGTTTCCCTTGAAGTGCTAAGGTGGAATTTCAGGATATATTTCTCCCTCCCCCTCCCCCTCCCCCATTTGGAGTGAGAAACTTAGTCCCGATATCTATCTAGACTAAGGACCCATCCTCAAGCCTTCAAAGTTTGATCCCGGCTCAAATTTAGAGACCTATACTGCGCACAACCTGGTATGAGCGGAGCACCCCCTTGAACTGGATGTTCACCAAGCTAACAGGGATGACAGAGACCTCCTATCAATACCACGTCCCCTCACCATGGACATCTACACAAACCCCCCACCCAGCACCTATGTCACAGGTTTCACGAAGGTTTTCACGATGCCGACAGACTCAGGCGGGATTCCCGCGGTCGCCGTTAATAGGAGAAACGCTAGTCTCGTCGTCTCCGGATATACCATCTTGATCCTGTTTATTTTCATGGTGGGATGGAACTTGATTTTGTCGATTATCATGGCATTCTGGCCAACAAACCTCGATCCAAACCGATACGTCGCTTTGATTGCCCTTTGGAACTCTGGCGAATCCATGAATGCGATGAAAGTAATGCTGGAGTACTGCTTTAAAATAATCGGTGGGTCACCGAGCGCCGATGGGGCCTTGCCGCCTGGTGACCGCCGACACTCCGACTTGGAAGAAAACGTCCCTACCGATCCAAAAGAACCCGATTTATCCCAAATCCCCCAACCATCAGAGAATCCTAAGCCTTCTAGGCGCAATAAGAAGCCCGGGGCCGGCAATCTATGGTGGGGTATTCTGTTTTTCCTCATTGCCCTTGCAATGTGGGCCGGAAATAACGCTGCGGGTATTTTGGTAGCCGGGGAACTCCTGATGGGAAACGTCGCCCCTCCTGCCAAGGATACCATCTTCTACCCAGACGTCCCAAAATACTCTCGAAGTGACGACAACGGTGCTAGCCTTGCAAAATTGGATTCACTAAAAGCTCCTTCAGCACTACGTGCAATCGGATCTATCGAAGCCTCCGATGTTACAGTCCGGAAGCGAGTCAACATAGTTGGGATTCCCAAACCGAGTGAGCTGCAAGAATCGGAACCTTGGGCAGGCCGAGACTACGATTATAACGTCACCGGTGTGGATATGGGGTTACAGAATGTGCCTAAGTTGACGCTCCAGGTCAAAGGTTCCTGTCATACGGATTATACGTGGCTGGTGAACTCTACCAATGAGGGTGATACCTACAAACTCTTTGGTAAAGACAGGAGTTACACCGCCAAATTCCAACCAGATGTGAATTTCCCTCCAATGGTGACCGTGGAGGTCGACGTGAATTCCGAGACAGAAAAAACCGCATTCGCCATGATGGTTAACACTGGAGGCCTTTTCAGCTACACCTCCGGCTCGGACGCCTGGTATTTTACTGAGCCGACAGGCAGTAAGGAAGTGGCGTATCAAGTCCGCAGGAAGAGACCAGTTCTCAGCTGCTGGGAAACAAGAAGGTGGCATCTTAATGGGAAAGACGTGGCAACCGACAAGCTAGAGACGTTGCCTGGCCTTAACCTCCACAAGGTTTTGATTGAGATATTCAAGTTCGAGTTTGCGCTGCCGCGCGTGGTCAGCATGTCTAGGGCGGCGGGGACGGGAGCACTCAAATCAGCTACATTTTCTGTAGCTCCTTCTTTTATTCTTGATGCGGGATCATCCAGTATCGTCACCGATATTGAGCGTTTGGTGCTTGCTAGTTGGGTTAGTTCTCGGAATGTACTACGCGATACAACCACGTTCGAGGGAAATAATATGGATGACTTAGCCAGGGGAGGGAGAGGCTCGGTGGAAGATGGAGTGGCCAAATTTGTCATTCAAAGTGGAGATGTTGGCACCTTATCTGTCCGGATCCTAATTTCCGTCCCGGTTATCCTCTTGGTTCTTTTGGCCTTTGACTTGTGCTTGGGCTTCATTCTCAAACGCGAAAAGCTTAAGAAACATGGCATATTACACCGTTATATCGCTCGTGGAAACGCTCTACATGCTACCCAATTGTATCGCGGTCTCGACGAGAAGATTTACGATGGAGAGAGGTGGGAATACAAAATCTCAGTTATCCCAGCTATGTACGGGGATTACAATAGACAGAAGACGGGGTATCTTGTGGGTGAACAGCGCCCAGGATACGCTGCGGTATCGCCACGGGATGGAGCTCGTGGGCACAGCCCGGATGGGAAGGGAGGAGGGGTCACCACCGAGTCTAAGCCGGTACCGGAATCAAACGGTCTAGGAGCCGCGGAGATCACACCAAGCAAATAATAAGCGTCTATCCCAACAAGGAGTAGAGCTATTGGGGGAACAAGGCGGGGAGACGTCCTCAGTTTTTTATGGAGCTATTTCTTATTTCCAAATTATTTTTTCCCTCGTTTTGTCGCCGTTTTCGGGAGGCCTTCTCAAGCCATGGATCCCCTGTCTTTTTTCCATTTCTCTATCAACACGGCCGAGCCTAATGTATGTTATGTGGTTGTTCTTATTTCTCTTTTCCATTGTCAACTATCATTTCAACAGTCCAAATCAATGACTTTGGCGGATTAACTCATCTGTATTATCATGAAGTATTAACTTCCTGAATTTACTGAAACTTCCGATCTGAGTTACTGTATTGTATCAGGCTCGAAGTAGATTATGTCTTGAGCTCAAGGAGAAGCTTTTGTTTCCTTCCTTCCTCCATTATTTCATCAACTAGTTGTTCTAAACAAATACCGGAAGTGCCCCGATCAATTCGATATCCCCAAGTCCGATTGTTTCCGATCGCCAGGGCGCAATCGCACACTCCGGGGAAGCTTAATAAAAGTACTAGAGCATGGAGCCGTGAGAGCAAAACCTCTGAGGGCTAAGCACAATTAAGTTTGGAAGGGTGGTGCACTTAGAAAATCTACAGAAGCGCTAGCTAAGGACAGGCTAGGGGGTGAGTAACCTCTCCGGACAATTAACAGATCCAGAAAACGAAAAGCAGCGAATCCTAGAGAAGTATTATACGCCATCCCGACAAGTCATCCGCCATCCCTAAAGCCTGTGCCTTATGCCCAACTACCCTATTCCTAGTGGCACTGGATGTGAAAGAAACAACACAAAAAATCGAATGTGATATCATACCAGACAGCCCTACTCCTGTGGCGACGGGTGTCAGTCACCTATATCCTATACCCACCGAGATTGGATGTGAGGCCAACGATCCCTGTCGTGTGCCTGTCATATCATATCATACCCACTGCACACATCATACCCGCATGCCCTATCCGCATATCTCTACCCGCATGCCTTACAGGCAATTCGCTACCCTCATTGGAATAAAAAAATTGGGAAAAACCCGGGGCACAAAAATTTACTGGTTTATTGAAATGTCGAGTTCTGGTAGCCAATTGGGGGAGGTTAATGGCTTCTCGAACTCACAGGATCACCATACTAGCGAGGATGATCGGGAAGGGACGGGGGTGGGGGAGGTCAAAAACACAGGTATATGGGATTGCTTCCCGGGAGAACTTGTCCGCGTACCGTATTTACTCGGTCACGCTAGTATAGTATGATATGTTGAAATAATGTGAGGCGTGTCAGGGGGGATCGCGCAATTATCTTGTGATATCGGTTCGGTCAAGGTTGCTGAAATTGTTAGGGTGATTGGAGGAATACCGAGGGTATGATACTTGGTTTTATGTACACATTTTTGCTCAGCTCGGGTCGGGGTGAGGCCTGGAATTGTAGGATCTAAGCATTTAATTTCGTATCATATTTCGGGATAGTTTTGGGCCCCTCCCTCCCAAGACCGCGTCCTCGCGGCCCATGCCTTACCTTTTTTCAGAATACTAGCATGAGGTCTAATTGAGCCAGTTAATAAGGTAGTTATCATAATGTTTGGGACGGCCCCCGGTTTTGCAACGGCACCATCACCGTCAATCACTCGCCTAACAACGATTGGTTTTTTTTTTGCAGGAAAGTTATGCACGAACCGTGTTTGAGGTTGTCCCCGCATCTGCGCGTTGGAGCGTTTCGTCTCCAGATGTACGGATTGGAATTGACCGGGGTGCCCAAAATAGGGACCTGGGGGTCTGCCGCATGCGAAATGCAGATATATAGACAAGAATCTTGTAACCTGACCCGAGGGGAACAGAGCGCTTGATGGATTGATGAAGTGGATAAGCCCTTGGATGGCTGTTCTGCCCCCCACCTCACCGGGCGCGTGCGGTGCGTCGCCGGTCGGAGTGTGATGCGGTCGGGTGCGGACCTAGTGCACCTATTGTCTAGACGTTAGCACCAAAAAGACTGCATACAGCAAACTTATCGAAGATGTCCCAGAGACAAATTTAATGGGGAAGGTTGATGGGAGCATTGGTAGTCGGCTCTCCGGCTGGGCCAACGTCTTGAGCTGCTTAGAGCCTAGTCACGCCGGATTGCCAGATTTGGTATAGGGTGGATTCTGTTTGAGTTGCTGGATATAACTACGTTATTGTTCTGGGGTTACTGTAGTTTACTAAGAAGGGTTTCTAGGTGTCTTTCCTTTGTTATCACGGGGGGTGTGGATATGCGTTGGGGAAGAGATACGTGTGGTGATTTATGAAAGGGCTGGGATGGTTTCATCTTTTTTCTGTACTCTTTCCTTTGCCATTAGTTTGGTGAGAGGAGCAGTGGAAAGAAGTGTTGGCGTAACCCTTCCTACTCCCCACCCTCCCTGAAATTCCTATATTTCCGGCCATCTTCCCAACGTGCCAGGGGAATCCGCACTTTACTACTACGCCATTGATAGATACACCAAGAGATTCCATAGTCTCCTCGATCTCCCATCACCCCTATGCCTAGTAACATCTTGGGATATTAGGAGAAAATATTCTTGGTTCGCCTCACACTCCAAGAGAATATTCAGAGGAAGGGCGAGGATAATTCCCATCTCGATCCGAATGGACTGGAAACCCATTACCGGGGGGGGGAAGGAAAAAATAACTGTAGGGGCGGCAAGGAAATTTCACGCATGAAAGAACAACCGAAAGCAGGAAAAATCAGAAATTTTTTGGGGATTCTAATACGGGAGTGGTAGGAACTGGATATCCTAACACCCCCAGAAGCAAAAATGTTGAAAAAGCAGACTCCCGGGGGCCAAGGGAGAAAAGCTAACACGGCGAAAGCCTGGAGAAGAGAAAGGAGCTATCGTACCCAAAGGCCAAACAAGAGAGTGAGGGAGTAAACCACACTAACTTTGACACCCCAAGACCACATTCCTTTGCGAAATGGTATACGGGGTGAGACATGGAATTGAAACACATCCCAAAACCGGTCAAACACAGGTTGTTGGAAAACAGAAAGGTTTGTGACGGCATGCCGGTACCCACGGGGGGCCTAACATTGATAGGCTATTATATGATATGGGCGAATACGGGCGTATCGCGCAAGCCAAGTTAGGACAGGGAAAAAATATTGGAGGAATTAGCGAAGAGCTTAGGGTTTCAAGCAGGACGTAGAAAGAAGCAATGATATGATACATATGTCTAGGTGGTAAACCCATCCTAGATTTCCTAAGGGCTGAAACAAGAAATTGGTCTCGGACCCTAGGAACCCTAGGATAGCGGAACCCCCCCCCAAAAAATGCGCCGGAGAACCCCCGAACTCTCGATATCATAGCTCAAAACAAGGACTAGATAATTTGACCACCTGCTTCCGGCGATTGCTGCCCCATTATTGCTCTTTAATGACGATCCCTGTTGGGGAGCCGGGTCAAAAAGACAACCACGATTTGGAGATACTCCCAGACTGAGGTAGGTATCCCGGGGGGTTGAAATTAGGTTTTAAAAGAGAGAGAAAATATAAGAATGGGAGGGGGCAGAAGTCGTGTTTTATGGAACGAGTAGTGAGGAGGGTAGAAAAACAGCACACCGTATTGGGACGAATGTCTCCGCGATCTAGATTGTCCTATTCAACCTGGAGGCGTACAATACTGCGCCTTGGGAGTGTTCGAATGAGTCTCACTCGCAAATCTAGCGGTGCCGACCTGCCAAGATTGACTGAAGTTACAACCACTTCGCACGAGTGTTTGTGAAACAAGTCTCGCATTAGTCATCTTCCCTTCCCGAAAAGGATAGCTCTTGAAGTTGAACTCAACCTTCGGGGCCGAATGACATGACGGTATAATACTATAGCATTTTCTGTCATTATACTTAGCAATCGTCAATCGATCCGGACCGGGGTGCTAAATAATATCAGGCTCTTTGGAAAAAGAGAAGATGAAGGAGAAAAGAGGAAAACATCGGGGACCCTGCGGTGAGACAGGGCGGATACTACCTAAGAAAGGCATTATTCGCCAGATTTTAGCTTGCGGTATTCAGAAATGTCTCTTTCCATTTTGTAAAGCTTGTGATTCCATGGAAAAGTCGAAATTGACAATATTGACGCTGTGGGACACTCCTTTTACTCCCGAACCTGGATCCTATCGGGCATGCACGGGCTGGGTTTGGAGACCTATCGCACTGGCGGCACCCAAGAATTTTTGGGTACCCCTGGGGGTGAATGTGCTGTTAAACAAGGACCGGCACAGGACTTCTCTCTACAAGATAATCCCCGGGATACCCGGTGGAATTGTAGGAATCTGTACCTGACAGGGTAGCTATACTTCTGGAAGCGGTGGGAGCTTAGACGGGGTATTAGAAATTGGTTTATATCTTTTTTCTTGTTCTCATATCATGCAGCTACCCTCCGTTTGTCTTTTGTCTTTTCTTTTTTCTTTCTCTTAGCTGGACTCGTTTCATCATTGGTCGTTGATTGTTGGTAAAGGGAAGCGATCGCGGACCCAGCTTGGCCGATTGTGCAATCGCAATTAAAAACATGTCTCAGATCACGAACACTTCTGTCGAGTGGCCTGTGCTCCATTTCCTTGAGATCTTTCCTGGAGCCTCATATAACGGAGACGGTATTCGATTTCTCCCTTACAGAATTATTATTATTATTATTATTTTTGGAGCTGATAACTCTTTTCTTTATCCTGCCATGCCCTCACATTAGCTGCAGCCTAATTCAGCAAGAAGGAAACCTTCGTCATTGGTTTAACACTTGCGGGGAGCTGGAATGACCATGCTGCAGCTCGTGGTTTAAGGCTAGGCCGATAATTCGGTTTGGATGGGTTCTGGTGCTTAATAGCTAGGTGACCATGTTTTGTTTGACTTTTTCAATAATATGGTGGGAAGAGCTGGCGCCCGGAGCACGGGGGAATGTTGTCTTATCTATCTAATCATGTATCATACTCGCTGGTCTTTGCCAAGAATACCCCCGTGAGCCGA